AAGAGGAAGGAAGAGGAGGAAGAGGAGGAAGAGGAGGAAGAGGAGGAGAAAACGAGGAAGGAAGAGGAGGATCAGGGGGAAGAGGGGGAGGAGGAGGAGGAGAAGAGGATGGAATAGGCGGAGGACGAGGATGCGACGGAGGGGGAGGAAAGGAAGGAAGAAGAAGAAGAAGAAGAAGAAGAAGAAGAAGAAGAAGAAGAAGGAGGAGGAGGAGGAGGAGGAGGAGGAGGAGGAGGAGGAGGACAGCAAAGAATAGATGGAGAGTGAACTTGGTAAAGAGGATCCAAGGCGGATGTACCGTAAACTGAAAAAAAGGTTAAGTTCACTAATCAACGGTCTGAAAGCCTGAAACAGATCGTTCTAGAGAGAAGAGTGTCAACAGTGACCACCCGTGGTGCCAACAACCTTTCCTCTGGAACAATTACTAGCAGGGAAAAGAGAGAAGAAGAAGAAGAAGAAGAAGAAGAAGAAGAAGAAGAGTGACAAAGAGTCGACAAGTTTGTGGACCGTGTCATGTCGGAAACTCGGGTTAAGCTTTCCACACCCTAAGTTAAGAAAAGAAATCAAGATCAAGAACAAAAACAAAGACAGATCTGAACCAACTCGCCTAGCTCAGAGTTGGTACACCTCTCAACTGAACTGAACTGAACTGAACTGAACTGAACTGAAATATAGAGCAGGTGCGGAGTTCGAACTCCACTGGAAGCAGATGTCATTGAGTGGAAATACTAGAGTTACTCTGAATAACATAGGGACGGTTAGTACTGGTTCAGTGATGATCTTATCTCCAGGCGGGTGCCCATTTTAAGAGAGAAAAAGACGGATCTGAAAATTGTGAAGACGACTGCTGAGGTCCCCTAGACCTCAGTAATATGGTTTCACTCTCCTGACAGTGTGTGCTTTTTCCTAAGTTACCGAAAGTTAAAAACCATAAACTTTAAATTTACCGAAATACAGACCTGAGTTCGAACTCCACTGCCGACGTCTCCTCCTACCGAAAACCGACCTGGCCTCAAGAGGTTTTTTTTTGCTTAGCCGAAAAAGATTATGAACTTTAATCTTTACTGAATTTAAGCAATTGATTAAACAATTGATTAAACAATTGATTATAAATAATATAAATTTAAAATAAATAAAAAAAGTTCAATTGACTGCTGGGGACCAGTTGAAAATCACTGAGTTTCAGTTCAAGCCCAGATGCCTGAAGGTCACGTACGGCACGGCAACCTTTTTGATAGACGGGACCACGAGTTCGAGTCCGACTGGATAGGGTAAGCGTAGGCAGTGTGGACCCCTTAAAATCAAATAAAAAGAATTTGAATTAGTAATGTTAATATTACTTAATAATATGCTAAATTGCTAAAGTATTTAATAAATAAAATATATGAAGTCAATGTTAAAGTCGCTAACTCCAAGGCTCCGTCCAAGTCAATGTGCCCGAATGCCGCACACGTGCAACGGCTCATATACAGATCACGAGTTCGAGTCCTACTCAATGCTAGTTAATTTAATTTAAAATAATAAAACCAACAAAACAAAAAACAAAAAAGCAAACAAAAACGTTGTCACTTCAAGATCTCCTACAGACCACCTACTGTTGAAAACTAGCATCAATTAAAAAAAAAAAAAAAAAAAACTCCAGCAGACCAGTTTGCCAAATCACACAAGCTTCGGGCCGCGCCCGGCCGGTTTGACTCATCTCCAGGGGTGTGGTCCCACTAGCAGTCGGATAGGAGTGTGGCCGATGAAGTGTGACACTGTGTGGCAGCGGCCTGACAGGTTCATTTCGAATTTCTGGGCTGAGAAAACAGGAGAAAGGCAAAAAAAAGAAAAAGAAACAGAGACCTCCCACCTGAAATCACAGCAGAGTGCTTCCCAGCCATCAGATCACAAATGATCAGATGGTGGTGGTTGCAACAACAGTGTAGAAAGTAACTGCCACATTTTCTGGAATAAACTCAACTTCTGTCAGCAGTGATCCTGACGCCCTCCATATACTCCGTGATTGAAAGAGGGCTCTCCACCCAATGAGATAATTGCACAACGACAAGTAAAATACTGAAAATCTTCTATCCGAGTGGGCCTATGGCTGACCCCACTCTCTTTTGGGGTTGGCCATGCCCCCAACGGATTGAAAAGATTTTGGCGGGAAGCTTCCTTTGCACCGGCATGCCTAGTGTTAAGGAGAGGAGGAGGGGAACCAAGATCTCCGTGCTTTTTCGGGTAATACATGTAAAATACTGACCGTGGGACCACGAGTACTGCACGGCAGGATTTGGGTCACTCAACTGCCACACAAACTCTTTTCTATCCTATCCGGTTGCTAGTGGGACCATGCCCCAGCTCAGATATGTGTCCGATAACTCGGGGTTCAATTTCCTACTAACTCAAGACTTAGTTCCGGAGGCGCTACAGTCATTATTAAAAAAAGAAAAAAGAAAAAAAAAGAAAAAAAAAAACTGCCTGATTCCGAAGAACGACTCTTTAAGTTCTCAGAATCTACACAGAGCAGTCAGACTTGGCTTGAATATTTCACGATCACAATCGTGCATTTGTTTAGGGAAAAAAAAAAAAACAGCTCTTCTTTCCTTATCCTCTGCGGCTCTGCCCCCATCTATTTGGCGGGGAGTGACCGAAAACCTCCCTCCCCGACAAACTCTTCCATGCAAGCACTTGAAAACCTGCACGCAGGCGCAATGCCCGTTAGCACGGCACAGGTACCAGAATCTTCTTAGCTAGACGACGCCACAGCCCCGTTCTATTATCCCTGACATCGGTTATCCCTGACAGACGCAAAAAACCACAGGAAAACGAGAGAAAGAAAGTTTAAGAAACCTACTATTCCTGTACCTGAAGCAAATACGACAGCAAAGAAAACTTTGAAAAAGCAATACGAAGAACGCTGTCATCGCATTTTGCCACTGAGGGTACAAATAATAAAATATATATATTGCAAGTCGCAAACAATCAAATATAAAGAAAGTTTAAGAAACAAAGGAACCAAAAAAAATGGGACGGGCGTTGACCACCTTTTGGGTCCCGATCGATTGCCTCACATTCTTTTGGTAGCGTGTTTTGGATATGAAGGAGACATACAGACTCTGAGTCTGATATGAAGGAGACAGACAGTCTGAGTAGAATGTGTGTTAGACGGAGAGGAGACGGTTTGCTTTGCAGACTTCCCAGTTGTTTTCTTTTTGCTTTTATTTTGGGTATGCGACTCCCGATGGGGGCTTGGCCAGCGATGGCTCGGTCATAATTGGAAGCCGCCTGCACATATGTGAGGGACGCCGGGCCCGTTTCCCGGCTTGTATAATAAACTACTTAAAATAATAATGATAATAATTCAGATGAGAGAATGAGGCAAGGAGAAGACCATTCGCAAGGCGATCTCAGTTGGCACACCCACGAAAAGTGGAAATACAGACCTGAGTTCGTTTCCTGATGGATATAGATACGTGGAATGGAATGATTCTGAATTACCTGGGCTGGTCAGCTCGATGATGATACCCCAAGTCCATCGCCCTTTTAAATAAAAAAAAAAACAAGAAAAAGGGAAGGATAAGAGCATATGGAAGGGTAAGAGAGGACTCAGGACTCAGTCTGTGCTTGGGGGGACAGACAGGACGTGTAGGGGAGGGATGAGGGGGAAAATGACATGGAACACTAAGCTGAGCTTTTTCAGCAAAACAGTTCAAGTTAAATCAACGGCTGGTGTTAACCATCACAGTTGAACCACAGTTGCAGCTCTGTTAATTCGGGATGTCCATGTTTTGCCGAAGAATTCCTGTGATTTCAGAGAATTGTTGTCTTTCCGCTTTGTTCTCTCTCTCTCTCTCTCTCTCTCTCTCTCTCTCTCTCTCTCTCTCTCTCTCTCTCTCTCTCTCTCTCTCTCTCTCTCTC